CCCCCCCCCCAGTTCTATCAGCCCCTCCCCACCGGCACTTTGACTGTCATCAGAACACCACCCCTTTCCAGGAGTGATCCACACAAAGCAAGCTGGGCTTTAAAACAAAATGCAAATCACCCCAAACCTCCCTCCCCCCACCAAAAAAAAGAGCCACAGAAGGCAAAGACACCCCTCGATCTCAAGATGCCACAGCGACAAGACAAGGAGGGACCCGCGAGGCCGGACTCTCCCATCTCCCGTCATGTCCGCGACTGCCACCTTCTTCTCCCCTGGGTTTGCTTTGCTTTGCTGCTGGCTACTGCTGCTGCGGCTGCCGCGGGAACCCACCTGTCTGCCCTTTGCCCAGCGTTTTCTCCAAGCGGTAGGGTCCAACATATTGCGCGTGTTGAGCTCCGCTGCCTTCCTTGCCAGTTGATGTCATTTCTACCTGGCTGGGTAACGCTCTGCGATGCTGCGCCTGGTATCCCGCTCGGGGAAGCTCCGGGCTGGTTTTTTCGTGGCTGGTTCCTTAAAATTCCGACTTGGCCGCTGTGCAAGGAAAGCGCCTGGTGGCTCGCTCTCTCGCTCGCTCGCTCGCTCTCGCTCTCTGACTCTTCTGCTGATCCTCGTCCACTTGGCGGAAAATTAACTCTTGCTCTCTTTTTTCTTTTTCCCCCTTCGCTTTTTCTCCACCTCCTCCTCCTGTCTGTCCTGCTAGGGAAGGGATGCCCAGGAACACTTATTAGCCGGGGCTTAGGGATGGGGGAAATCTCCGAGCATCCGAAGCATGATGCCGGTTCTCAGCACTCGCACGCTTTAGTTCGCTCTAGAGCTGCTCAGCGGGAGCTGGAGCAGCGGAAACGCTGGGGCCCGTCGCTCCGACTGACATTAGGCGCAACCAATCCCCGGCAGCATCTCGGCCCGTCTCCCCTCCCCTCCCCTCCTCTTTATCCACTACCTTTTCTTTTCCATTAGCATCGGCCGCGGCTGCTGCTTCTTGCCTCGACGCCGAGCATCGTATAACCAATGGCAACAGCCATCAAACGGCGAAGGGATTCGTCTCATCAGGACAGTGGTTAATCCCGTTTCAAACTCTGCCCTGTCTCAAACTTTGTCTGCATAGCAGGAGGGAGGGGAGAGCTGCCCGGCTCTCTTTATCCGCTGGATCCAAGCCAGTTCTGCCCTCCATCCATTCCAATCGCACTGAAACGGTGCTCGGGTTGGGACCGCCAAAATCACAGGGAAGGCGAAGAAAATTAAACTGGAAACAATGAATACTAAGGGGTTCCCCCCCCCCTTTTTTTTTTAGTTGAAGAAGAGAATCACAAAGTGAAGTTGGCTTGTAATGAATTTCAGGGGAGTTAGCTGGTCTAAATATATGTATATGTATATGTATATGAAAAGGCAAAAACTGAACCTAAGCAGGGTAAAATCTTGTTGGAGTTAGTAAATTAAGTGGAACTCAACTGAGAGAAAGACACAGTTTCATCTGAATGACACTCCTGGCACTTTTTTTTTGAAATATATTTTTATTGTTTTTACATTTAAAACAATGCAGGACTGCGAAGTCCAAGTGACCATACAATCACATTATATACAAATAGTCTCATCCATTAACTATTAGCCTACTTAGTACATTATCTAACCTTCTATCCAATCACATTATTTACAGTTTGGTCCAGTCTTGTCACCTTGTCTTATACCAATCATAAAATCTGTTCCAGACTTCAAAGTATTCCAATTCCCCTTTATTTTTTAGTTCAAGAGTGAGCCGATCTGTTTCCGCACAGGCCAAAACTTTTCTGATTATATCTAACTCTGATGGTGTGTTTTCTTTTTTCTAATACTGCGCATAAGTTATAAGCGCTGCAGTTAGTACATGTATAATTAGATAAAGTACTATTTTTATATGTGCAAGAAGCCAATGTGATTTTCAGTACATGCTGTAAATTAATCTTCCCTAAATGACAGGATGGTTTTAAAATGGAATATTGATATAAAGCACCATCTTGTTTATACTTAAGCAATTCAGACAACAACCTCTTGCATTTCATATTTTATTTTTTAAAAACTCTTAAAACTAATAAGTGATATAAGCACTTGACTGAAACAAGCAACAGGTGCTGTTAGACAATCTTCACATAGCTGAAGAAAAATAAACTGCTTTTCATTTTTGCATACAGTCTAGGATAGTCCTGTCCCATATAATACCCACGAACCTCTAAATCTTCTGTGACCATCATTAACTCCATTGTTCATCTATGGAGATTCTCAATCATCCAACTTATGATTGTCCCAAAGGTGCTTTTTCAAGGGTCAACTAGACTTTCCTGTTTTTATATAAATCCTTTCATTGCCCACCATCCAGTCAGAGGTGAAGAAGCTTCTGGGATGAGAAGTGAAACCTTCAAAGGAAAACAAGAAAGTCCAGTTGCCTCTTGAAAAAGCACCTTTCGCACAAACCCATTATTCATTTAGAATGAAAAGTTACCTGGGGCAATAATTTCTCAGCTTTGCTTTAAGATTATGGAACTCCACGCTAAGAGATGTTTGGACCAGATCAGAGGTGGTATTCAGCCAGTTCTGACAGGCTCTGGAGAACCAGTAGCAGAAATAATGAGTAGTTCGGAGAACTGGCAAATAGGCTGCTTCCCAGCCCCCCCAGCTGATCTTCTTTTGTTGTCCTGAACAGGAGAATGGAGCTGGGAAGCACGTTAGTGGGATGGGGAAGGAATGGGGATTTTGCAGTAACCTTCCCCCAGGAATGGGGAGGGAATGGGGATTTTGCAGTATCCTTCCCCTGCAACCTCCACAAAGCCATGCCCACAAAGCCACGCCATGCCCACAAAACCGATAGTAAAATTTTTTGAATCCCACCACTGATCCAGATCCTCCCCACCAAACCAAAACATGGAATTTCTGCTGTAGCTTGGAAGTAGCCCAGATCTGCCCTTTCGCAGTATGATAGTAGGCTNTGGTATGGTTCTGCTCGAGTTGCAAACTGTCTACGCAACTTTATTGAACTGACAGCCTCTTGAGCACAAGATTATCGAATCTCCGAGTGAACAACTACATGTTCAGATACTCCCTACCATAAGTTTACTAAATGCCTTCTTTTCCTTCTCAGGAACCTAGGTATGATAGCCAAAAAACGGCATCACTTGGCTGTATATAACTGATTTTTTTCCCCAAAAAAATTCTAAGTACAATAGCAAAGAAAATTGTCCATAATTCATTTAACAGATCAATTTTGAATATGGGAGAAAGAAAACAAATATTTCCAATTCCATGCATGGTTGCTCCCCCCCCCCCCCCCGCAAGAAGAAAGTCCCATTGATGTCAGTAGTTTTACCTCCCAACCTCCAAAGCAAGTGAGCACAGAATTAAAACTCCATATGCCAATAATTCTTATGGGGTCTTTAAAACACATTTAGATTTAATCTGTGTATCCCAGCATTGTATGAACATCTGTGTGCATCAGGACTGGAAGAGTAGAAGCTCATTTACAATCTCCTATAAAATTACAAACAACATTTTTACTCTAATTCGGCTCCTCAAAGGCCAACGAAAGTAGACCACAGCCTTTCTCTGAACACAGGCTCTGCCTCCCCCCACTCCACTCTGCCTCCCCCCCTCCACTCTCTAATCACTCAAAAGGAAGATTGGAAGATTAGTGAAGGAAGGGGGAGGACAAATTGCAGTTAACCCTTCAGCTGAATAATAATACCCCATGAAGATCTAAATGTGTGATCTAAATCTATAGGTTGTGATCTTTTGCTCCTTTACTTGCTTGCAAGTCCCTCAGAACTCAGAAGGACTTACTTCTGGCAAAGCTTTTGACGAATCATCAATCTGAAATCTGCTGTTGTAGCTGCTTTTGAGATAACCCAAACTCTGTGAGAGGGGGCAGAGTGGGAGACCTCAACTGAAAGTAGACAAAAAAATCACAGTAATGAGGATAAGGTTTGAGTTCATAGATTTAAGGCCTCTTACATGGTCATAGCAAAGGGCAAGAGATCACCTCCGGAAACAGCATTCAGGGTTTTTATCAGTGCGCCATAATACTGCAATAATTTTGACAGGAATTTCATATTCCTCAGCTCCGTTATTCATGTCAAGATATATTTCACAGTAGCAGGAGCTATAATGTTGTTGTCTTTTTTAAAAAAAAATATATATCTAGCCCTCAGCGTTATGGAGGATAAAGGTGAAGTGATTTTCCAGCTACTGCAATATGAGAAGGAGCAAGATACAAACAAATAAAAGTCGCTTTCCGTTTTAAAGCAGCACTTTTCCCAGAAGCCTTTCCCATTGACAAAACCGACAAGCAGTTGCTATGGGGCTTGAGGTAGGAGGAAGAAAAAGAGTGTGGAGAAGGGTTGCACACTTAATCATTGCAGGAAAGGTTGGCCTATTTCACAGAAAGATCTGGATTTCAACTCTGTCCCCAAGAAAATTGCAGGGACTGCAGAGCTGCTGCCGTGCAAGGCAACAAGAAAACAGGCGATCAGAGGCAGCAGCTGGAGATGGAAACGCCTATTAAATCCTTTAGACAACAGATGGGCAAAGCTCATCTTTTTTTTAAAAAAAA